TGATCTATACTCATTACGTTCCGCATATTATGTTTAGAAACGAAATCTACACCGATTTCTTATGCAATCTAAACTGGAACCCATAATTTAAAGAGTACATTACATGCGCAGTGAATGAATACTCTAATATTATGAAATTCTGTGCGCCCGAACAGGGTTTATTAGATCTGTATAACTGCTGACCTCCACAAAAGTATTGCGGCACGTAAATCGGCACTCCCCTGTTATTATTTCAGTTTAAATTAAGAATCGCGTTTATTTCCATCAAAATACTAGTGGAGAGAGATTTGTTGAACTAAAGGTAAAGATTCATAGTGAAGAAACTTTGTTCACTTTGACTCATTCTGACTAAACAATTCCATGGAATAGAGGCATTTTTGAGAAACTGATAGTCGATTTGCTAATAAATACATTTCCCATCTTCAATGGAACCTGAAGATTCATGACAGTCTTTACGAATCTCCTCCGTTTTGAATCTGTCCTAAGCCACATAATTTCCGTCCACACACCATTTCTGTGACTTACTTTAATGTTATTTCCTATGTACGCCTATTAATTCCATATTATCTACTCCATTCTGAATTTTTGTGTAAAATTTTGCATGTCTTTATGATCTCTTCCATGTGTTCTACACGACCTGTCTATTCACGTTATAAAGCTTGAGCAGGAAACGAGAAGACTGCAATCACGCAGTATAATTGTACTTAGGATTATAGTGGTTAAGGTATTTATGTTCAATATTTTTAAAACTAATTGATTCACTGGTTTAAGGTTGATTTTGGGTTATTTGAACAAGGGACCTTGACCACAAACGTCATTTGGCTTTGATAATACTAATGGCAAGGGAAACGGGTGAACCACGATAAATCACTTCGTAACTAAGCTTTTTGTGCCACAAAAAGATCGATAGTTGACAGTGGTTTTGGCGAATAAATACAAAACGTCTACGAAAGGAACGTTTACAACGTTTTACCGTATTTTAGTTTATTTAACAAAGAGACAGCCATTACATTTTTGCGTCTCATGTACTTCGTAATAAACCCTTTCCTTGGGACCACGACAGACGAGCTGATGCGAAATGTAAATGTTTGTTTGCAAATCCTGTATCGCTGAAGTAGGGCGATATCTCGGTCGACCTCACTTTATGTCGTCGTCTGAGGCCGATATTCCTTTCGTACGCCTTCTCACTAGTGCCGATTCCTTTCAACACGGTCATGAATATTCCATAATGTTGGGGAATTTCTTGGCAAGTTGTGCGACTATTAGCTTCTCAAGGAAAACTGTATTGACGGAGGACTCATGTCTCGGCCAACTTGTTAACACTTCTTCTTCGTATTCCAGAGGCCCCGATTCATATCGCGGACCCGATAAGTTTATCCTGACTAATATATTTTGCGATTTTTCTAACTCCCTCCAGGATGATGCCGGATATTGCTGTTTAATTATTCTTTCTTCCACATCATTTCTTATCATCTGAAGCTACATATTCTGAGCTACTGATGGCGCAGTTAAATAATTCACAAAGTAAAAACACGATCAGGGAGTTAGTAGAGCGGAAACCTAATTTCTATCCATATTTCAGAATCACTTGGGTTTCTAGCATTATAAGTTAGTGTAATTGCGTCATATTGTGAATATTCTAACAATTATTTATTTTAATCCGTCTTATCACAATATTTAAAATTTCTTATAATTAAGATAATAAAATATCATTGATGTTCCATATCGATTGATCGATTTACATTTTGGAACATCGATCAATCGATATGGAACATCAATGATATTTTATTATCTTAATTATAAGAAATTTTAAATATTGTGATAAGACGGATTAAAATAAATAATTGTTAGCATTATAAGTATTCAGATATTTTCTTAATATTATTCACTAATAAGATACTACTACAAAATGAATCGAAATATATCCACGCCAGTGGCTCGCTGCTACGGTTTCGAAATTACCTCCTTACTAACGTTTTCGTCATAAGTTTAGTTTCTCTGGCCAGTTTTTTAAGATCTTGTCAACATCTGACAGATCGTTCTCAATTAGTTTCACAGAACAGAGACGCTTTTTATCTTACACGAACTCTGACTTTGTCGTGGGTAGTGATCGCTAATACATAATTTGGAAATACTTTAAAACTTTCCCTTCCCACAGTTTGTTTCAATTTCGGATTTTCCTTGTCTTTCTTAATTTCCTATTGTGTGTTTCTTTCTCTCGCAACTCGCTTTACGCGTAATTAACTTTATCACTTTTAGAAATTCTCTGACTAGTTTCATGTAGAGAAACATTATTAAATGAATAAATCTCCCCTCGTGTACACTTAGGACACAACGGCGTCTGAATACATCTGAAGTTTTGTTTATAAAGCATTAGGTTTTTTTTAAATGTTTATAGCTAAAGACAGTGTAGGTAACTTTGTACGAAATTCGGTAGTTTGCTTATAAAATAAACGTACTTTTTACTTGCGTTTGAGTTTGTCA